ACTTAATCTGTTGGATCTTTCTCAATTCTTAAAATGGTTCCTTTCATCCTCAGTGCTTTCAGGAGTAATAACACTAGGTTCCTTTTCTCTTAGAGCCAAATCCATATCCATTATCCCAAGGTAAAAATTGATTTGCTCTTTCCATTCAGAGAAGTTCAGCCCATTAAAAACTGCAACAGTTGAGAACATGGAATGTGTGGCAACAGGTATTGCAAGGAATAATATTTAAACATTAATGCTTTGAGTCATACATGTCACATACTAACATACTTCACAAATTCAACTATACTAACTTCAATGCATATCAATGTTCGCCTTTGGGGATCCATTAACATACAACATTAACTATAATGATGCTATATAAATTTCACATAATTTGGCAATGATGCATAACCCTATCATAATTATTTGTCATCTTTGGATGTCCAAATGTGAGGAAATATACCAACAATACCAACATCCATGTTCATTTTATAAAACAAATAATCAACCTTTGGGTTGATCCCCAACTGTTCTATAATAGTGAACTTCAATATACCATAACCAGAAAATTATATCATACTATTCATAGAATCACAATCATGGTAATTGAAATAGAATCATAATGTTTGAAATTAGAACAACTCTTCAAGATTTGGCCACTTTGGTGACTAACAAATCTTTATCATAATTAATTTCAAAACTTTGTCCAACTTTCATATGTATTAATGTCCTTTCATGGTTTCCCAATAATTCATAAAATGGAATAAACATATGACAATGGCACACTTTCCCAGTACAAAGACTAGAGAAATGGCGCAGGTTAGCGCCATTCCCGTGCGGTGGTCCAATTTCACAACCCGCAAAGTGGCGCGGGTCTGCGCCAGTGTTCCCATACATTTTCCAGTGAGTTGGCGCGGGTTTGCGCCACATTCCAGAAAATGAAATCGTACAGAAACCGTAAAATTTGCAGAAACCGTAAAGGATGAACACCATTATCAGGAAAAGCAACACAGTAATCTATCATCATGTTTTCATAAGGTGTAGTATTTGATCATTATTTAACAACACAACATGGATTTTGCTCCCATTCCTTTCCCATAAGAATTTTCAATAATGAGATTCAGAAGAATCAACAATCATGGTGATCAAAATTTTCAGAAAAAACCCCCCCCCCCCCCCATTTTTCATGAATTAAGAGATCATACATAATTGTTTACGAAAAATCACAAACTCTTAAACATATGATTTGATATCACATGTAAGTTATTCATCAGCAATTCAATAATTCATGTTCAATATTCTACATTCAAGAACATGATACAGAATCTTTAGAGATCATGATTTTCTTTTTTTTTTCTTTTTTTTTTTGTAATAAGAGATCATGATTTTCACATAAGAGTGTACCTTTCTCCATTAGTGCGGAAGAACTTTGATGATGGAAGATCGTTTCTCAGAGTTTTTACCCTCTGATTTTCTTGTATCGTCTATGATAGGGATCTGATACAACTTTTATGGGCAGACCATGAAGGAGAGAATTCTGAGAAATAATCATAATCAGAGACTCACTATTTTTCTCTTTATATAATTGAACCATGTCACCAGTTACAGAGTTTCAAATAACTCCCTGTAACTTCCCATTAATGCGAAACGTCAAAACGTCAATTACCATTAATGCAAAACGTTACCATAATGCAAAATGTCAAAACGTCAATTACCATTAATGCGAAACGTCAATTACCATAAAGCCTCTTTTATTATTAATTAAACCAATTGACACATATTACACATGAGACACAAATAGTTTTACAATATAGTCCCACATTGATTATGTGGGCAACTAATGTGACCTTTATAAGGCCTTGGACACTCCTACTCTTTGAGCTAGCTTTTTGGGTGGTGTATCCCAAAATTCTTTACAGATCTCCTAGACGGGGTTTCGCTATCTAATTTTAAGATAACTTAATATTCATCTTGTCTTTGATCTCATAATCATATACCCTTTGAAGCACAAGCCTGCACGCCCATAACCTCCACCACCTTTACATTGCAGGCTTGTACCATGCAATTTTTGTCAAACAATGTAATCTACATTTCTATTGACAAATATTGACATATATGTGGTGTATATTACATGTGTAATATGATCCAGCCGCCAATATATATATATATATATATATATATATATATATATTTAAAATTTAATCAATTTCATGATTAGAAAGGCTTCCTAGCAAAATATTTCAGATCTTTTCAAAATGATAAGGTCAAGCAAAATGAGATGAGACATAAGGATAGATTTCATGAAAATTTAGTAGTCATGGCATGGTTATAGTATTTCGTGACCACCACAAACATGTAATGGTTCGACGTTAATTAATACGCTTGTGTTTTGGATAGCAGAACCAAATAGAGGTAACGTTTTCTATGCACCTTGGAAGTTAAGGTCCATGATGCTTCTTAAATATAAGTATTGATTTTGCTTTAAAATACATTAACACAGTGGACACAATCAGAGGCGTTGGGATTTTGGTAGATGGGGGATGAAGATGCCTTGGTGAGGTTTTGGTAAAAATTTTATGAGTGACTAAAATCAATTTCTTTTTTTTTTCTTTTTTTTGGAAATACTAAAATCAATTTCTTAATAGTTATGGGGTGGAGATGGAAAAAAGCATAAAACTATTTATGACTTATAATACTAAGTGATAGATAAAGACCACCGTTGGTCACTAACCTTAGAATTGGCCTCCATCTTTTTCTTTACTTTTTATAACGGAGGAAATATGTTGTCTTTCTTAACTTTTAGACGCACAATTTATCTGGATTTTATTCCTCGATTTATTTTTCTCTGTTATTACATCCTATTAATTTTTTTAATATTGCCTGCATAAATGGATCTTGTTATTGTCTATTTTTTTGTATATAGAATAGGATAATTTTTATCTGATCGATGAACTATTTTACTCGATCATATTCTATTTTTTTACATTACAAACAAATTTAATATTTGGGCTTGTAAAAGTATCAAAGTTAAACAACTCTTTTTGGGGAGAATGTCATATTTATGGGCTTCAAACCAAACTACTTTGACAAAGAACTAGTAATCGTTGTCGGGCCAGGAAATTGTCTTAGGCCAGTTTTGTTGTCCAATAGCATCAGAATTTTCGTTTTTCAGTTTCTCAATTTCTTCTTTTTAAAAATGTTCTTTTTTAATCATTTTCTTAAGTCAGTAAATAATAAGGTTAATGTTGATTGCTATACACAATGACGATGTGCTCATAAAATTCTAAAGTAGCATTCATTTTCTTCTTCTCTTGGATCAGTGAGGCAAATCCTAACGGGCTATGGAGGGCCATGCAATCCTGTTAATGGGTGTAAGGTCTGCAGAACAGAAAGCATTGGATGCCTACTGCCAACTAGTTTCTTTGTTTGGGTTTGTATTATTCTTTTAACTCAAATAATTTTTTCCTCTTTTTTTATACATTAAAAAAATCAAGGGAGGGTTTATTATTTATCCCATTCTAAAGCATTATATAGGACTTATAGATGTTTATTGCACAAATATCCATAAATATTTAAGAGAAGAAATGTTTAAAGTTATAAAAGGAGATGTACATAATCAATTTAAGTAGATTTAAAAAAATATAGTTAAAAAATATTTCACATCATAAAAAAAGTGCATAAATTATTCAAAATAATTTAATTTTAAAACATGAGAAGTCAAGAATGACATGTATCATTTTATAAGAGAGAATATATTAAGAGATTTAACCACTGAGAATGAATTCTAATTTAATATATAGAAACAAATATATAGAGTACTTTTTACTTTAATTTTTTATTTTTTTGCATGCTCAGATTTTTTTATTTATTTTTTTAGAGAAAAAAAAACAGAAGACAAAGGGAGTGTGTTTACAGTTTTTAAGAAGAAAAAAGAAGAGGCCAAAGGGAAGCTAATGATGCATACACGACAAGCAGCTTAAAAAAGAATTTTCATAATCTTGTGCCACGGTTGGCACCAGTTTCTTTTCAACTGACCCTTTTTCCAGCTAAGACGCTTTGTTTGAACGTCTAAGTTAGCTTTTTGAATTAACCTTTATCAATTATCAGTGCGTCTTACATGACCAAATCTGTACATATAATTTTTCATTTATTGGTATTCTTACAAGGACTTCGGGAGCTAAAAGTTTATACTAGGAAGTAGGAACTTGACGTCAGCAATTTTTTGGTCTGTGTCTTATGTCAAAGTAAACTACCTGCATGTACTAGATATTGCAATGCAAAAATCATAGATGGATTGAAATAGCTATTGTATTAAATATAGATAATCCGTGTAAGACACTCTTTGGATATTGCTAATTAATCTGAATTCTATACTTGTTATTCATATTTTTTGAATTTGTACCATACAGATGAAACATTATAAGAATTCATTAAGTTATAGCCTTTTATTTTTTATTTACAATGACGTATAATACGCTAACTTCTGAAATATTGATATTTTTGGTTTAATTATATTTAAGATTTGTGCTAGAAATGATTTAGTAATACTTTATATTTATTAAGACTAGTGTCTCCTCTATCTTAAATATATCTTCTAGATTCTTATTTTAATAATTTAGGATATCCTCTATTACTTGCATCCTATTCCTTTATGCATGGTTTCAGTCCATCTGATAAATACTAGAGACAAGAAGACAATAAAATTGCACCAAATATTTTATGGATTTTGTCGTGTTTGTCATCATCAATTCATCATCGCATCCAAATATTTGGTTTTTCAACCAGCAAAGTTTCATTCAGCATAAAACATTACCATCTTTATGCACATGGGTTTACCAAATATTTGACTAAACAAAATATAAAAAAGTATTTAAGGATTCAACCAAATTACTGAAAAAGGAAGGGGAACTTTCCAATTTCCTTGTCCTTTTCTAAACACAAACATTTTCTGCAGACATTTCTTAATTTTACAACAAGAAATACTTGCTTTCATATCTTTCTTCTTTTTCTTCTTTTTTTTTATAATTTTTTCCCCTTTTTGGCAGTACCTTCATACTATTTCTTACAATCAACCTTCCACCAGTTCACAGAAATGGAAAGCATTCAGGAACACATTATCTATTATACATATAGAGCTAAAAGAGTTCCAAGATGGATAAAAGGCCAAAATTTCTACACACCCAAAACCCCAGACACTAATCCAGGGGCTGCTGCATTGTCACAACCAAGGGACTTGTGACAGTGTGCTTGCCATCAGACCAAACTATGGAACCAGTCTTCACACTAGAACTTCCAGGGGAAAGCTTAACTGCCCTAGTTTGCACCCTAACAAGAAAGTTCAACTTCTGACCCAACCTCCTGAAAGATAGGGTCTCTGGCTGCACTGAGACAACCATTTTTGCTGGTGGTCTAATGGTGACTTTGTACACTGAATTTGGGTCCCCAACATTGGTCACAGTTCTAATGAAGTGTGTAGACATTTTATGCTTACCATATTGTTGAAACACTGCAGACAAAGATGGGTAATTCAAATTCCCAGTATGTCCAGCCTTCTTTGCCCCACTACAATCTGCACCCTTCCTTGTGATCACTTGGATATTCCTAGTGGTATAATTTGAATTGCACAAGAAATCCACATAATCAAAACTAGAAATATCATAAATCAAGCCAGGGTCCATGGCCTTCTCAGGATGAACATGGCCAGCTCCATAATCAAAGACTGAGGAAACATTCCCAGTGGACTCATCCAACATAGTATCACCCCTATTATCCACAGTATAAGCAGTAGTCATCAATGCTGACCTAATAGCAGCAGGACTCCAATCAGGGTGTGCTGCTTTCAACAAAGCAGCCAAACCAGAAACATGAGGGCAAGCCATTGAAGTACCTGAAAGTATGTTAAACTCAGTCCTACGCAAATCAGAAGGAACCCCAGAAGGTCCAACTCTATCAGGCCAAGCTGCAAGAATGTTCAACCCTGGTGCTATAACATCAGGCTTCAAAATCTCAGGTGATTCAGGATTAGGCCCTCTAGCTGAAAAAGATGCCACCACAGGTGCTGGCCTAACACCAAGCCTAGTTCCCTTGAACACAATCCTAGCTGTTGGCGGTGACCGTGACTTAGCGGCCACCGCAACGTACTTCCTAATTTCATCGCCGCCGGTGGCACCGACGGCGGTGGCAGGAAGTACATGACAATCAGCTACCAACCCTTCACCATCAAACACCCCATTAGCCAAAATCATGCCAATTCCTCCAGATTTTTTCACAACTTCACCTTTATCAGCTCTTGAATTAATGCCTCTGTCACAAACAACAATCTTGCCCTTCACATACTTAGGATCCAACGAACCATCCAAGCAAAGTGAAGAAGAATAACCATCACCCCCACCTTGTTCAGTACCCGCATACACAATCGGGTACATCCGACCCGGAGTTAGACCCGGCCCACCATAAACACTAACCCCATTTATAACCTTGCCATTTCCAAGCTTCACATAAGCAGGGAAATCTCTGTCTATGGTTCCAGCACCAACCGTTGTCACCCAAGGTGCCACGTTGGTGACGGTGAGGCCGCCGGGACCGCCGTTTCCGGCGGAGGCTGAGACAAAAACGCCGGCGTTGGATGCCCCAAAAGCACCGATAGCAATGACGTCAAGGTAGTACGGCACCACCACACCTCCGACGCTAAGTGAGGCCACGTCGACGCCGTCGGCCACGGCGGCGTCGAACGCCGCGAGTATGTCGGAGTCGTAGCAGCCGCCGTTCCAGCAGACCTTGTACACGGCGAGCCTAGCCTTGGGAGCCATGCCGGCGGCAACCCCCTTGGCGTAGCCCAACGTGGACGCCGGCGACACGTACCTGCCGGCAGCGATGGACGCCGTGTGAGTGCCGTGGCCGTCGGAGTCCCGCGGCGAACGGTACTCCGTCGTCTCGTTCATCTTCCCGTTGGTGGACTCGTACCCGCCCGAGAAATACCGTGCTCCGATGAGTTTCCGGTTGCAGGAGCTCGCCGGAAAGTCTTTTCCGGCGACGCACCTGCCTTTCCATTTGGCGGGAATGGGACCAAGATCGCGGTCGTTGAAGCTCTGCCTCTCCGGCCAGATCCCAGTGTCGATAACTCCGATAACAAGATCCGACCCGAAATCAGTCTCGTGGAGCAACCCGGTTCTGTCAGCGGTTTTGAGACCGAGAAACTGAGGGGAACGCGTGGTGTGGAGTTGGCGAACTTGTTCTGGTATAAGGGTCATGATATGTGAGAGTGATTGGAGCTTCTGAGCCTCTAAAGGTGAGAGCTTTGCAGAGAAACCATGGAAAACGGTGTCGTATACATGAATAATAGGGTTTGTGGAAATGGTGGAGAGTGAGGACTCATACCAGTGCTTGTGGGTTGGGAAAATTGAAGGCTTTGCTTCATGTTGGACTTGGATTATGAAGGTTTTCTTATCTGGTTCTGAAGAAGAAGAAGAAGAAGGTAGTGGTGAGAATGTGGCAATGAAGAAGAGGAGTACAAGGGCGAGAGAGAAAGAGGAAGAAGGAGCCATTGAAATTTGAAGGACTCGTTGTGTTGTGAACAAAATTTAAAGGAGTTAAAGGAAGTGGTGTTGTGGATGTAGACGTGAGTGCATGGTTGTGTGACTGTACTGTGAGTGAAGGAAGGGAAGGTGATTAATTATTATTATTATTATGAGAGTGGTAGAAAGAAGAGGAGGAATAGTTAAGGGTTGTAGTACAAAAATGGTGCCTGTGGTTGTAGGATGCAAATTGCAAAGTGTTCAGAGTAGTGACTACTGACTAGTGAGGTATGACAGTAGCTGTAGTAGAGTTGTGTTGGGATGGGTTGGTTGTCGTGTAGTGTTCTTGGATTTGAAAATGTGAATCTTTTCCTAATTCTAATTGGGAATTTTTTTTTCTGTAGGTATCTTCATAAACTAGTGTTACAGTGTAAGAGTGTGACCATGTTTTATGTTTTATCTGCATGGACACACAGTAGACAACGTATATATGTTGTCCAGCTATTCAGATACGTTTACCAATGACATGTTTTACAATTTTATGAGATAAGTTATACTTATTATTATTATTATTATTTTTATTATCAACTTTGTTATTCTATATTAAAATTAAGGAAAAAATATTTATTTTTTTAAATGATACAACTTATATTATTTTACTCTCACAAAGACGTAGAACTCACACTTTTATATTATTTTGTTCACTCTTTCTCCTCCTTTATCTATCTCTTTCTCTCACTTAAAATGATACAATTTTACATTCATTAAAATGATATACATTTTCCCCTAAAATTAAATTGATGGTTGTAAAATAAATGAGAGTTGTTGATTTGATTTTAAAAATAAGAAATGGTAAGAAAAAAAATATAATAAGTATAATATCCTCCAATTTTATATGAGAAATTCAAAAACTTAAAAAAGGTTTTTTCTTTTATTCAAAATCAAATGAAGCTTGTCGCAAAAAAGATTAGTATTGTCCCCACTTGACTTGAAAGAAACAAGTTCAAATAATGTAACGAGTCTCTAACAAATAAAACAACGGTTTTACAAGAGTTATTGTGTAATTTTATAGAGATTCGTTTTGCGTGTCATAATTTTTTTTTTCTTCTAAAAATGTGAACTCCACAAAATATTGTGTCTGTAAAAAAATTTATTGTGTGATGTTAAATGACAAAATGTAAACTCCCATAAACAAAGGGTTTTACTTCTCTTATGTTGTACGAGAGAAGTTATCTCATGTTGTGAGATAAATTAAGTGGGGTTCACTAATTTTTTTTTAAAAAAAGAAAAAAATGACACGTCTTTTTATGTAAGTGTAAAATAAAAGAAGAGTCTTACGTGACATAAGAGTATAATTTCCCGTAAACAAATAACTTCATTAGTTCAGTGTCCATAACGAAAACTTTACAGCACTAGGTTGGTCCAAAATATTTAATTATTTGCACCAAGTTTTTATGACAGGCCAACCCTGAACTTGCATTGCTTGGCTTCTTCAATTAATGCTCCAATCAAGTGTGGCCCAGAATTGGGTACATGAATTACGTCACCCACCCATGCTGAGGGCAACCAAGACCCATCCTCTCTGTCAAATGCTTGACTTTCCACTGAATCCAAACAACCTATTTATATACACTCAAGTGTTCCATTTCACCCAAATGAAATTGAAACCGAAAATCCTCTTTCACCCAAAAGAAAGAAGAAAATCCACGTATGCCCGCATTCTTTTTCAAGCTATAGTCAAAGATAAAATGAAAAATGATGAGCAAGATTATACCTATTAGATTATTATTGAAGTAGTTTTTTTTTTTTTTAAATAAAAATCATTTATAGTTCGAGAAATTGTGTAACCTAGATATTTGAGTTATGTAGTTGTACTGGTTTTCAATTAGTATATAAGCGTGTTTGAATCTGGTTACCTTTCGATCCATTCATATAATCTCGTACAGATGATTCACAATAGACAAGAAAGATTAGTAATATACTAATCGTTGCCACTTTGTATGTTTGATTTATTAGAAAATAAAATATAAATAGTTTAAAAAATAACATAAATACTAAACAAACAATAACACAATAAATAACACAAAAAATCGAATTTTTATTATTCATTAAATTAAGTTACGAAATTTTGTTCGCAAAAAAAAAACCACGTCTCTCTATTTTTTGTTCAGTTTTATTGCACGTAAAAATGCATAACATAAAGAGTGTTATAAAAAAATATTTACATGAATTAGACAAGAAATACCCCAAATTTTTAGGCTTGCATATATATATATATATATATATATAAATAAAGAGAAAAGTGTTTGTCATTTTAAATGACATAAAGTTATGTCATTTTAACAGAGAGATAGACACAATTTTTTTTATTTAAATTTTAAATTATAAAAAACACTCACTTTCTCTCTTCCATGATTTCCATTTTTCTGTGTCTATCTCTCTCCTAAAATGACATAACTTATGTCATTTAAAATGACAAACATCAAACCCATATATATATATATATGTATGGAATTAACGTTTCTCTTATCATAAAAAATAAAATTATCTTTTACAATCTTAAAACAATATCGTTTTAGTATTTAGTAGAAAAAAATATTTTTTCTATGTATATATATTAATCATTAAACAGTTAATAATACAAAAACTTTGTTATATTACTCATCCACTTGTGAAATTCCTCCTTGTAAGAATTTATTTCATTTGGGTTCATAACATGTCCAACGTTTTCTAAGATATTGTGGCCATCAAAGTTTAATTTTATCTCCACAGAAACAACAGAGTTTTGAGTTGAAAATAACTACTAAGTTCTCATGGATGCAATACATGGAGGAATAGTCTAAGTAGTGATTGAAGCCAATTAGGTGGAACCCAAAGAAAAGGTTCAGCTTCGCATGCATGGTGGGGCCTGCTCGAACAACAGTTGTTGCTCACTGCTCAGCGAGTGTCATCATTGACATTTTGCAAGTGAAAGTGAAACTTAGATGGCGGGGCCTTTTGGCCATTAAATCAAACACTCTAACACGCATATTGTATTACATTTACATAATTTTAAAAATTTTTTATAACAAGTTTTATTTTATTTTTATACACTTATACTTTAATTTTATCGCATATCTTAAGTATAGGAGGTGTTATACTGTTATGCTTCGGAGAGAAGTGCATAAAGCTATTTTTTTCTAGAAATAAACACTATAGCATAATCATCATCATCTTCCTTGAATCGTGTTGATGGTGACCCCTCTTGCCAAGCTGTTGTTTTTCTTTAGACTCAAATCTTGATGATCTTAACTATTACAAGTTGCCTTGGTGGGGACCTAAAATTTCCCCGGCCCCGTGAATTTGAAACACTTGGACACTCGAAAATCCAAGTTATACTTTTTTTTTTTGTTGGAAATATTCTATCGGTTTATCGCTTCGCGATTAGTTCGATTCGGGGCGGGTCCAGGATGAAGGCTTTAAACCCCTCCCAAAGGTGGTACTGGGGAGATTCGAACACATGCCCTCACCCCCACCTGCTCAGCTCCCATGCGCCAACTGAGCTACCACCATTTGGTAATCCAAGTTATACTTTCTTTGCCTGTACAGTGAAAGGATAATTTGGATTTTATATCACTCTATTTCCAGTATAAAGGTTAATCAACGGGGGAAAAAAGCCAAAATATATTACCATGTAGGGAAAAGTGACCCATCTATTAGCATGGAATGGGGGGGGGGGGGGGGGGGGGGGGGGGAATTAGCCAAAATAGATTACAAGATAGGAAGAGAAATATTTTAAATTTAAAGTGCGTTGATGTTGAACTTGAGGCCCCATAACGATGTCCTAGGAAGAAAGTAAGAAAAGGAGGTAAAAGGAATCACCAAAAAAGAGAGGGGGAAAAAAATGATAAGATACCATGGCTGGTACTTAAATTACTAAATTATAGAAAACATGTGGGGTTTGCAATAGGAATGCAGATGCAATTATTAGGAATCTTGTAATTATGATCAGTATGGTTCAGAGGGGTGAAGTTTGGACCATTTTGCTAAGTTGAGTTTTAAAAATAAATAGAACCTTCGAATCTTAAGAGAAAAATCCTTGTTTGGGACATTACCTTACTCATATCGCTAATTAATCAAATATATTTCTTTTTATAATACAAGTTATTTAATAGCTTTATTAATTCCTATGTAATTACATACTTTAAAGTTTAAACCATAGATATTTTTAAAGGGTATATATAATTTTTCTCATGTTATGATAACATACATTTTCTAATTATACATAAAAAATTGTGCTAATATTTATTTATTTATTTATTTTTTTAAAAAAAGTGGGCTACACTTATTTTATATTTATGACATGAGATAACAAGTCTCATATCATATAAGACTTGTATTCCACTATTTTTAAATATTTAGAATAAATAAAAAAGCTTTTTGTAGGGTCAGAGAATCGGTAGTTAATTAAAGCTTTGTTCACGTTCATCTAAAAAGGTTGTGGTTATTTTAAATAAATTTTTAATGATGATTTTTGTATTATCAATAAAAAAGATTAAAATAAAGATTTTTCATTTCTCATGTCACAACATATGAAGTTATCTCTAGTAATATCAAAATTACGTCATTTTGAGGGTTGAGAGAATTAGTGAATTGTATTTTAGTAAAATTCATAGAAAAAAATAATCAAAATTCTTATAATATCCTTTATTAATTCTCTCAATCCTAAAATTACGTAATTTTGAAATTGCTGAAAATAACATTATTTCCAGTGATATGAGAAATATTTTTTTCTTAAAATAAAATGTTAAACAAAAAACAAAATGGTTAATATTTTATTCGGTAAGCAATTAAGATGAATTAATAAAAGATAATTGCTGCCCCCAATTTTTTTATCAAGAACTTTCTCATTCTCCCATTCTTTATCTTGTTTCTTGCTACCTTCCTTCAATTATTGCCTTCTAATCTTTTATTTACTTCAGCTAATCAGCCCCACGTTCTAAAAGTCATCATGGCAAAAAAGATCAGTTGTTTCTTCAATGAGTTAGACA